TTTGTATTTAAGCATGAAAGGGAAAGTATTTTACAAATTAGTAGAAATTACAAATATTGTTTTGTTTTTGAAATCCACATGTGGAATACAGTACATCATATTGCCCAAGTCCTGCCATCAACATAAAACTAGAAAGCTCTTAAAATAAATAAGCCAATCATCTCCTTTTGAAACATTTCATAAGATTCCCGGAAAAAATGGCATAAAGGAAAGGATTCAAACAACAGTTAAACAAAGCCACAGCCTTGCTTGGGTCACCATAAACACGACGGAAGGACTTCAGCTGTAAATGAACTTCTGGATCAGATGTTTTAGTCAGAGTAATTACTATATCAATCACGTTAATGATGTGCGCAGGAGTCCAAAACACAAAGAAAGCCACAATGATGCTGATCACAAGTCTCTTCTTGTAAGTCCTAACATTTGACCCCTTGTTTCTGGATTCCTGCTCCTGTGAAGCTCTAGGTAAAGTTGAATTTTGACTCAAACCTTTATGCAGCCACAGATAACATGTCAACATGATTAAAAAAGGAATGACAAACCCCAACAGGATCTCAAGAAGTAATACAGTCAGTTCGACAGCCATTGAACTCATTGCCCTCTGACATCTTTGGAGTCCATCCCTGTCTTTAAGTCCATGGGTGAAAAACACTGGTAGGGCAAAAACAAAGGCAAGAGTCCAGATGCAGACCAACTGAAGGTGTCTGTGTCGTCGCTCCAGTCTTTGCAGAATCATCGTGTTAGCAACCCTTGACTTGATGACATTGTGATAGCGGTGCACACTCATGGACGTGACTGTTAGGACGCCAACATACAGACTCCAGTGACCCATGAAAAATAGGAACCTACAAAACCACAGGCCAAATTTCCATCCAAATATAATTCCAAACAGCACAAAATGTGCCAAACAAAGACTCAAAGCATCAGAGACCGCGAGGTTGAGCATCAGTTTTAAAGTGAAGCTCAGACTTTTGTTCCACTCACGAGCAATGCTGACGATTACTGCAATGTTGCTCGGCAAACCCACCAAACAACACAAACCCAGAACCACAGCAGGAGCGATCTTCTCTGAACCCACAGCAGAGGTGCTAGATGTTGAATTGAAGCTAAATTCTAAATCCATCATTGGATTTTGCTGTCTGGAAAATGCTGAATCTTCTCTCATTAGAATCTTTTTCTCACTGAATGACCAATTACTGTTTGTAGAACAGAAACTATGTTGGTTCCTCATAAGTAATAACACTAAAACGACATATTTACCCCTTAGCTTCCTCTGATTCTCCATCATGATTAAAAATGTTTTGAAATAGAAACAAAACTTGAGTGACTGACATACCCCCCCCCCCACACACACACACACACAAACATAAGCCAAATACCAAACTCATGAACAGCTGTAAAAACCACAAAGAGCACCTTTCACTGCGACATGCACATGCAAGTTTCCTATTATCATTATGACACAGCATAATAAAGCAACAAATTCAGAAGCATACAAATATGAAAATATGGAAATATGGAAGTGCAAATTTCATGCCCAATCAATTTAAATGTGCACTCAGTAATGTGTTTAGATGTAAATATTTAAATAAAAGTGATCATACAATGTGAGCATGCAAAACAGCGTGACCAATCATTGTTGAAAAATATCATAAACGGTGCTTTTACCACTGGCCATCCCTTACAAAACTCATGATAATGATGCAATCAAAGTCAATTGGGTATATGCATAGGGATTTTTGATTTTCAGTGAGCACTCAAGCACGTCAGTGAACTGTCGTTTCATTAGACTATGTACCACATTTAAAATCGAGTTTCTTTAAAAATCAATGATCCTCACAGCCTGATTTTTATATAAAGTGGGTCTCAGACCACACAAGTAGCACTGAATTAAATTCTTTTGTTTAGCACCATGTCTTTAAAACATGGACATTTATTTTACCACAGTATCTACAATTCAGTTTGTCCTTGTCTGCTGCACCTGGCGGCACTTGCATTTAAATGTAATGAGTCTTTCATCTCGTTTTACACTTGAACAACAAAATTAACACTGAACTCTATTTAACATATTATTATATTTGAATTCATTTACATTATCAATGCTCTCAAACTGCCGGCACACGTCCTTCTTCTCCCTCCAGCCCGCAACTGACATTAAAAATATGATGAAATATAGCCCACCAAAATTAATATATTTAAATAAGTATATTTTTCAACCTCTGCAGTCACATCTACCCCACAAGTGGTTTTGACCTGCCACCTTATCCACATTTAAAATACTGCATTCAGATTAGTTTTACTTTCATTTTCTCTCAGTGTACAACCGAGAGCAACACACATGCATTTTAATGGGCTATATCATTTCATATCATACCAATTACATAACAACTACACACAGCACACATTTAGTCTTTGATGGATTGAAAAACACGCAACATAGTCCACAGTCAGTGCAAACCTCTCATTTGCATCTTTAACCTTCACAAGCACATGTAACCTCTGTTATTAAGTAATTCTGTCATTGCGAGTTCAGAAAAGTCCAAAAGGCGATGATAAACATGGCAGTTTGTTCATGTTTTGGGTTGGTGAAAGAATCATTCGCTACTTTGTTTTTTCGGGCTTCTTCATTGTTTTTGAAGCATCACTCTCTCATTTGTCAGTTTATGAAAGGATCAGATGTCAGAAGCACTTCAATAATCATGCTATGCATGGGCCGGTATAAGATTCTGACGGTTTGATAAACTTGTTTGAAAATATTACGGTGGTACGGTATTGTGGTTAGTGCTCTACTATATATTTTTTTAAATGTCTGTGTAAAAAAACAATAATCTTTTTTTCTCCTATGGAACACAATAAATTTTAGTTTTTGAAAGATTAAAAATATTTTGGAGCAGTAAACATGCCAGGTAGACCTTGCTGTCTTCATTAGTTTCAAAAACACTGATTTCTTTACAATTTAAGACAGCATCTTTTGATATCTTATTTGCTGGATATACTGTTGTACTAAAAAAAAAAAAAAAGAAGTTAATAAAAAATCTTACACATACCTTAGGAATGGTGTTACAGCAAATTTTGGCGGTTTTTAAACCTTGACTTTTTCAAACAGGGGTATACCTTGAAAACGGTTATCGTCCCATGCCTAAATCACGCGCTAGTTATTATCATCATCTCAAGAAGTTCGTTATTTCAAATATAGATGCGGACATGAGCGATCACGAGCTCCCTGGGGAAAGTAAAACCACTCACACTTTTAAACGGCCTCGTAAAACAAAATCAGGACACAGCAGATTTTGTTCTTCTTGGCTTTGTGGCTGTTCATCAAGACGACGACAAGATATGTCTGAGCTCGGGTCAACCATGGCTCGTTATTATACATAATGTAATGTCTTGGCTGTGTATTTAAAAATGGCAGTTTCTTTGTTTTTATTCTTCTGGTTTGTAAGCACGAGTGACGCTTCTCTGTAAACAAATAGCGGTCAGCTGCACCTCTAGCTCCACCTTTTGTTGTGCAAGGTACCCTGTGCAAAGGGTGCCCAAAAAGTGGTATGGTACAGGTACCTTTTCACAGTGGAAACAGCCATAAAAGCATACCGAACTACTCAGTGAAAACGGGCTGTAAGCTATTACCGGAAGTTTAATCGTTGGCTTTAAAACTCTAACTGTGCATACAGCCCATTCTGTGGGTGATTTAAATGTTAAAATATACCGCAAGTGCTCTATTTTTACTAAAGCTCTATTTTTGTAAATATTTAAGAGTCATTTGATTGCTATGTTTTATACCTCTACTTTGTTGTACATACACCTGCTCATGGCTTACACATTATGCCCGTGGTGTAACAAATATAATAATTTTGCTAATATTACATTCAAATGGTCTCATTTAATAAATTTTCCTAATTTGCTTATTAAGATTTGCACAAAAACGATGTACATTAGTAAAATTGTACCGCTAATGTAATTGAACTTAAATGTGAATGTGAATATGTACATTTTTCCCCCTCTTTGTTGTAGTTTTACGAAAAAAAAGGAAAAAAAAGGAGAAGAACAATTGCCATTAAAGTTACCTAAACTGCTTTCTGCTTTTCTTATGCGACTGTAACAATACAATTGGTTGGGACATAATAATTATCATGCCTATTATTTGCTGTATTTACATAGATTTAAACTACACCTTCAATATGTACAAGAAACAAAGTTAGTTTTGATTGTATATACTCTGGAAGAATGACTGTGTGTCTAAAGCTCGGCCATACACACTACAGCCACAGATATATTTCAGCAGCTGATGTGTGACACGATAAATGTGCTAATTTACATTATCACTGGTGACGGGTAAGGCTTGTAATATAAACGTCATGTCTGTTATCCTAAGATGCATCGATTATGACAGGTTTCCACTTTTTTTTGTACTTGAATGTTAAAACGGCCCTCCTGTAAATTGTCATTCACTGAAATGGCCTGCCGAAAAATTCGAGTTCGAGACCCCTGCTGTAGAAGAAACCTTATGAAATGTAAAATGGTCACAGTAACCATTCACACCGGAAGCTTATCTGTGGCTGAAACACACTTGCTGTGCATGTAGTGCATTAATGCAATTTCCAAACTTTACAGCATAGAGGAAAAAAAAATACCCACAGCAACAGTTAAAATGAATTCAGCTCAACTCCACAGAAAAACCACAGCGTTGTTCACACCGTTGACTGTGTGGTATCTTATGAATCGTATATATATATATATATATATATATATATATATATATATATATATATATATATATATATATATATATATATATATATATATATATATATATATATATATATATATATAAAAATATCCGGCCTCCTAAGAAGCTCATTGATACTTCTAAATATAAAAAAACATTTTATTATTTAACTTACACCAATTTGATTTCAGATACTGTACCATAACCTTCCCTAGACCAAATTCACCTTTCATATCTATCAACAATAAATATAATAAATGAACTCCACATAATCTCCAAGAGAACCATTTATTATAAAAAGCACGGACAAATATACAAGGTTTAAAAAAAAAAAAAAAAAAGTCACTGGAACATTTTTTTTTCTAAAGACACTGTATTCACCACTTAGTCAAACATAAAAATGTAGTTACTTTATGACAAAGTTCAATAACAGGGACTTGCAATGTAGCTATAAATGAGAAAAACAATAATCCACACATTTCTATGCAATCCAAATCAATGTAATGAAAACAGGCCAGCTGAGAGATTCCGGAAACCTCAATGGACCTCGCCGTCAGCCAAACACTTCAACCATCATCAAGCTGCGCTCACAGAGACAGCTTCATGACAAAACTTTCAGCTTCTCAATTGTAGATGAAGTTAAACCTGTGAAGTGGAACATAGTTGACAAAGATCACAATGAAGAACATGCATTTATGTTAAGCCTGCAAATTTACATTTAATCTAAGTCTGTAAGAAACTGGGAAAATCTGACATTGCAATATTTTGTTTTCTTGCAAAAAAATATATTGCAATATGAATGCAATTCCACCAGATGCATTGACTAGTTCTATTTGAAAAGATTTCACTCATTATATGGGTTAGGATTAAGGCAAAAAAAAAAAAATTATCATGATACCATGTTTCATATCATTTGGTATTAATAATAATTGGATATTTTTTAACAATACATTTAGCAATATTAGGAGTTTTTTTATTCAACCACTTTATTTTAATTTATCAACATTACTAAGGTGAACAGTTTTAATAATCAAAAACTAAAATATTTTAACTAAATATCTGATCTTTTTATAAGAAAATAAACAGAATTCTTAGAGAATCTTAAACCTGTTAAATAAATAAAATGTTACAAAGTGTGTGCAATGGTAAAGCCTAAACCAAGGGTGTCAAACTCAATTCCTGGAGGACCAAGCCCTGCACAGTTTAGTTCCAAGCAAGCCTGAAGGACTCAATTAGTTTCATCAGGTGTGTTTAATTAGGGTTGGAACTAAACTGTACAGAGCTGCGGCCCTTTTGGAACTGAGTTTGACACCTGTGGCCTAAACGCTGAACAATCAAAGCTAACTTTAAGGTGTGAATAATAATGATACAGTAATCCTCAAACTCTGTCAACAAAACTAATTATAATAATCAAGTCTGAGCTTTCAAGTAAAGAACTAACCATCATTATTCAAGTACACATTGCAACATTACACATTGTGAAGTTGACTACATTCCCCTTTCGCCTTTCAGATGGGGAGCTAGTGGCTGGATGCACAAGAAAAGAAACCAAAAAGCCACTCTGGCGACATCCTTACATCCTTTTTTATTTACAATCTCCACACTGCTGCTAGCCATGGGACTCATTTCGCTTATGTTGTGATTCTGACATGAAATGACAAGCACGAGAGTGTGGTTACCTTCACCATTTTCAATGGACTTTGCAATCACACTGTATTGGCGACACTCAAAACTAGGCATATCAACCGTTTTCTTTGGATGCCAAGCAGACATATCATTGCTGCAGCTCAAGTTTATGGAGAAAGGTAAAAAGTGCTGCAGTGTTTGGATGCGCTATGTTTGTCTGAAGTAATTAGTCTACCGTTATTACTAAAATGTGTATATTCCATACAAACTGTGACGCAGATTGCTTACTTCATCTTGAATCGCGGTGTGTTTGAGGCATTTGAAAAAGTTCAGTGGCCCTACCATACACAATTATTATGTTTGAGATATATGCTTGCAATCTGTCATATTAGACAAATTTATTCACTGGTAAAATCAGACATTTGTCATAATCAGATTATATTGAACAATATATAGGCTAGAGTAGTTATACTGACACTGTAAACATTTATTTTCATACATAACTCTGTTCGCTATAAAAGAAAAAACATCAAATGCTTGTTGTAATCATAACTCTAAATTGCGATATGATCATTTAAATGATGTGCTCACTTTTGGTTTCATTTTTAGGTGAATTATACCTTTTAAATGCAGTATTTGACTCATTCAACATCATTTGGAGGTGTCCATGTCACTATATGTGAAACAAAGAAAAGACTCATGCGGCCGCCTTTTCTTCTCTCCTGAACTTGAAAATATGATTGACAGAATCGTAGAAATGCTGGATTAAGATCGTCTAAGGGGTCGAATCAAGATCGCGACTTTTTTTTATTAATTTCGAATAATACGAACAGTATTATTTTTTATATGCATATTATTATGTTTTATTATTATATTTATGTTTTAAACCATATTGGGCATAGCATGTGTATTAGGATATAAGTTTTTTGAACATACTTTTTTATTATTGTTCATTTATTAGTTTGCTGGAACTTAGAACTGAATTTAGAAATAGTTTTGAAACAAATGTTTGCGCTTAATAGGCTAAAGGGTGTCTGTGTGTACAACACGTTTCCCTATCCACGAGAGTGAAAGTAAATAATGAGGAGGCCTTATCTCTCATTCTCATGCTGTAGATGCTTTGTTTAACTGTTTTCTCGCTAGTGATGCATTCAGTTTTTCCACTTACCAAGTCCACCATGTAAATAGCAAACGCGCTATGATGCAACGCAACTGACTATTAAAGAGAATGGGAGATGAGACTCTGATTTGTTTATTCACAGAACACACCTATAACTCCTTAAAAGAATAAGCTCAACTCTGTTAGGCCATGCGCCATGGCGCAGAGCGAATTTTTCCACACATAAAATAGCAAAAGTGGATTCTGACAAGCCCTTAATGCACTTAGATCATCAAAATAGAACCCCAGATGTTTTTCAACAAGGTGTATTTGGAAAATGCGTGCATTATGTGCATGTCGTGCAAGTAGTGCACCTCCATTGGAAAGTACCAACTTACAGCCAATTGATCAAGTCTTTTTCTAAGCAGTGTGTTTGCATAAATTATAATTAATTACAAGCATATATAAATACAGCAGAGCAGAGAGTTAAACAAACAGTGCCTTATGTTTTATTGTGGAGTCTAACAGTATTCAGGTACAGGTATTGAACAATCAAACTCAATCAAAATTTGGTGATCATTGTATAAACAATTAATATATATATCTTTTGCTGTAATATTCAATAAATAATCTATTCATCACATAATGCACATTGCGATATCGATGCTGAAACAATATATTGTGCATCCCTAATTTAATTACCCTGAAGTTGTTCAATAGCTTCTATTGAACAAAATAGAAGATATTTTGAAGAAAGTTGGAAAATGGTAACCACTGACATCCTACTGCCTTATTCACACTAGCAGCCACTTTGTAGCCAATGGTCGCTGTCACTCGTGTAAACAGAGGTCAGCAAAGGTTGCGAGTCCTCCGTAAAAAAGAATGGCCGCTTGCCGCTGCAAGTTGCTAATAGTGTGAATGCAGCTTTTATAGGAAAGAAATACTTCTACTAGAGCTGCACAATTCAGGCTAAAACAGGGTATCTGCACATTTTTTAACAGGAAATTTAAGACCTTTTAAGACCTTTTTAAGTCCTCTAAAATGAAAATTTAAGACTTTACCTAAACAAAAAACAAAACAAAAAAAAAAACAGGAAAATGTTCAGTGTGTCAACACAGAATGATGTGGTGAAGTATGGCGGTAAATCTATGGCGGCAAATCAATGCCAATATAAATCGAGCGCAGCGGTGATGTTTGCGCGCGAGGAGAAGTGAACCGTGAGCAAATTACTTGGTTGACTTGGTTTACTTGTTATTTCTAACGCTATTGGCTACTCTGCCTTTCCGGAAGTTAGCCGGGATTGGACGCAGGTTAAAAGATCACGCCGTTAAATATATATATACAATTTGCAAGTCATAATCATAAGAAACTTTCTGAGAACTTTATGAGGATTCAATCTCGAGAAACAGTCAAATAATAAATTAATCTTCTAAAATAATGACTTGCATTCTTGTAACATGACTTTCTGAACCCATTTGATTTGTCCGTGCAGCACTTGTCTGGTTTGTTGTATTTTACTTCATTATTAACCACAACAGCAGTGCTCATTATTACACTTGGGGATGATCATTCTAGGAAATATTGTCTTCAGAAGAGTTTATTTGCGTTTTAGATCTTTCCATACAATGCATACTATATGTGCAGTGCAGCTTTGTATATTATTATAATTGTTAACATTGTTTGTAATATAGATCAGTGTAAAATATATATATCTATATATTATATATATTTTTCAATCTCATTTTTAGTTAATGATTGAATAACCTGCATATAAAGACTTCAATCAAAAATGATTAGCCCAATTAAACATAAAAAATACAGTGACAGACATTCAGATGGGTGTTTATCGCCACCTATTGAGCAACAATTTAATTTCTACAATCTTCGTTTGGCTTTACTCACTATCCATTACATCATTCCACTTCAGAGGCATACAAATACCACTTTCTATACGACAGGCCCACATCTTAAAGGTCACATATGCAGTTGAAGTCAAAATTAGTAGCCCACTTTTTTCTTGTTTTATTTCGGAAAGAATAAAAGCTGTTTTAATTTTTTAAAACCCATTTTAAGGTCCATATTATTACCCTCTTTAAGCTATTTATTTTTTCGAAAGTCTACAGAACAAACCATCGTTATACAATAACTTGCCCAATTACCCTAACCTGCCTAGTTAACCAAGTGAAGCCTTTAATTGTCACTTTAAGCTGTATAGAAGTGTCTTGAAGAATATCTAGTCAAATATTATTTACTGTCATCATGGCAAAGATAAAATAAATCAGTTATTAGAAATGAGTTATTAAAACTATAATTTTTAGAAATGTGTTGAAAAAATCTTCTCTACGTTAAATAAAAATTAGGATAAAAAAAAAAAACAGGGGGCTATTAATTCAGGCGGGCTAATAATTCTGACTTTACCTGTATAGTGGAATAACAGACTAATGGCAATATATTTACTATAAACCTTTGTACTTTATGCACTGCATGCATGTATAGCCTATTTTGTATACTATTGTCCATCCAATTTATTCTGACTTGTTCTTCATAGAAAATGAGTCAAGGACAATGAGTCTTAGAAAAAAAAAAGATTTTTATAAATTTGAACACGTTTGGCTTGAGTTCAGTTTAAATGTAGGTGCTAAACTTCATCAAATGGTTCAAAACACACATTTAAAGTCTGAATTATTCGTCCTGAATTATTAGCCCATGTATATTTTCCCCAATTTCTGTTTAATGGAGAGATCTTTTGCCACATGGTTTAACTCTCTCTTTCTCTCCCAAGTAATAAAGTTTGTTACAAGAATATATCTCATTATTTTGATATGTCATTATATGACTTGGTCATGATGGTAAGAATAGGCATTATTATGAGATTAATTATTACAAGAAATATCTCATTATTGAAAGCTAAGTCGTCACCTATTATTACTGAGAAAGTAAGTCTATTAGTTACACACTGTGACATTATGATAAGATATCCTATATATTTTTATTTAACGGGGAAACTAGCTTACCTGCGTCCAATCCCGGCTAACTTCTGGAAAGGTAGAGTAGCCAATAGCGTTAGAGATAACAATTAAACCAAGTCCCGCCCTAGGACTCACAAAAATCCAAAATGTTTCGCGCGAGCAGAGAGAAGAACCAGCGAGCGAGCGGAGAGAACTGATCGGGCGCGTGCTGTAGGCATGACCTCGGTCGCGAGAGCGTACATCGTGCGCACAGATGATGATGTGTGAAGATCCCCTGTGCGCTTGCGAGCTGTAGTTTTCTCGCGTGTAGACCTGTATTCTGCTCACGGTTCAGTTCTCCTCGCTCGCAAACATCACCGCTGCGCTCGTTTTATATTGGCATTGATTTGCCGCCATAAGACGAGTTGGACATGATATTTAGATTAAGATCCCACATGAAATTTAAGACCTCCTTATGGAAAATTACAGAATTCAAGTCATTTTCAGACCTTAAAAATTGAAAATTTTATTTAAGACATTAAGACTTTTTAAGGACCCGCGGGGACCCTGTAAAATGAGAATCGCAATTTTTTTTTGCCTAAAATAAAGATCACTATTTTCTCACGATTCTGTAGACCTAAAATAAAGGTTAATATTAGTAGGCTATTATTATTATTGTTATTCTGAAACATGAGGTAACACAGCAATAGGCTTTGTGTAGCTGTACTGTTGGTTAAAATGCTGAATTTTGTATAAACTTGGAATGGTGGACTTGAACAGACTTTAGATTTGTCCTGGTCATTAATGCTGATGATAATTCTGATGTTGAATATTTGTGATTGAGACATATGCTTACAATCTGTAATTTTCTGCTTAAAATCGGTCACTGACATGATTTTCGTAAATACAGAAGACTGGGTGGGTATTTGTCTTATATACTTCCCGCGCGGCTCCCAAACGATCACTCTGTGCCACAAACTGAATGTTATTTACAACTTAATTACCTGGTATTCACAGCCTATGCAGGTTCTGTTTACTAAAGAAAACTTCATTTAGGAGGCGCAGGTGCACCCACCCGCACTCCCTGTGGTAACAGTCAGCTCACGTCACGTGTGATGTTGCGGTCGCAAATACATTACATGAGAACAGAAATGACATTTATGAGTTAAATTACATCTTTTAAATACAGTATGTGACTCTTTCAACACCATTTGGAGGTGTCCACATTGCTAAACAATACATGTATAACAATGTGAAGACTTGTGCGGCCACCATTGCTTCTCTCCTGAACTTGAAAATATAGAAATGCTGGATTAAGATCGTCTAGGGGGGGCGAATCGAGATCGCTATCTTTTTACGATTAATTGTGCAGATCTAACTTCTACTATAATGAACTCAATTTCCAACAATCTTTGGAATCTTCAAGAATTTGAATCACAAATTCCAACATATCTTCTTTTTCATTAACAGAAGGAGGAAACTTCAAATAGGTTTGGAACAAGTGGAGAAGAGTAAATAATGACAGGACTTTCATTTTTTTGTGAACTATCACTTTAAGAAGTCATATCTTACCTGCTCAGTAGCTGTGGAAGACTGGATATAATTGGGCCATAACCAGGAGCATTATCATAAAGCTCAAACAACGGAGCAGCCACCAGTTTGTAGTTCTTTGGCACGGCAAACAATGCTGAAGACGCACAACACATGAGGTTAAACTGTATAATGAGTTCTTCACACATTGTGGATTGAGTAAACAAATCATTTTTCATCCTACCTTTTTCTTGCAGCTGTACTAGGAAAAGCTTCTTGTGTTCTTTAGGTTTAGTGATGTGTGCTGGAATATAAGGGTACTGTGGGGGGAAATGGACATTTAACATTAAACTTTAATGCATTTAACATTACAGTTGCCTTAGCATAACTTTTGTAAATTTGCAAAATTACAGACAGAAAATTATTGCCTGTGTTATTACAAATTTATTGTAAGAGGTAAACAAAATGTACCCAAGAATCAGCTTTTTTGCCAATCATAGTGTGAAGTAAAAAGACCTTAAGATGTCCATTAAAAAAATGTTGGAAATTTTTTAGAAATATTAATGGCAAAATGATTTTGTATCTAAAATGAACATAATTTACACAATTGTGAGCAAAATAATAAATAAATCACCAATCCATTTGTAAGCCTGACCACATGACGCATGAAATGTGATATGTATAATATATAGATCATAATAAATGACAATTTGTATTTAAATTCTGTTTCAAGGTTTACTACACATTTCAGATCCAATAATATTAAAATTTTCCACCTATTTTTGATGCGTCAGGCATTACAGGATTAAAACAACAAAATAAAATGTAAATCATACTAGTACAAGCATAAATCATTAAAATATACCATTACTCATGCAGGGATTGTTTTGGCTAGGGAAGAGAAACATATATTTACATACCTGAGGTGGTTCAAAGTTTGGTCTCCACCAGTTCCCAATGCAGTCATCAATGACCCAGTCCTGTTTCACCCCATCCTGGCGTCCCAAAATCTTGACAAAAAGATGAGAATCACTATTAATTTATTATTCATTTGAGAAGTTTTTTTTTTAAACTAGCTTAATTAGTGTTTAGATGCCTTATCTGCTCACATATACAGTATATATTTGACACAGACAGACAGACATGTATAATGTACATACAATATGAATATATAAAATAATAATTTTGGGACATTCAGAAATATCGTGATACACCAACCACGATACGTATCGCGAAACTCTCGTGGCGTACCGTGGTACTCTCACGCCCCCTGCTGCCCATTGTTGAGGTTGACGTCACTTGTCTCTAACTAATTGAACCAATTTAAACACATCTTTATTATAATATTTGATTAAATTGTTTTAGTAATGAGAATTTGTTCTAAATATTATATTCTAAAGTTAGTATTTTAGTGCATGTTATGTCATGTGACTTGAGTAAGCATCACACTTGTTACTACTGGACGCAGGATGGCTGCTTCACATAGTACTGAAATTGCAGATCCCCCAGACACATTTAAGTCATCTGTGTGGAAACATTTTGGTTTTCCAATTGAGTACAGGAATAGAATTTGTGTCGTAGACAAAGCGCCTGCCTGTCTGTCTCAACTGTTTCACGAAACTTACTTGTAAGGAAAAACATTTAAAAAGTGTGGTTATTTCACAATGTGAGGGTGTAAGCAACAGAATTGCCAACAAAAGTGATTTAATGTACAAAAGTAAAACCAGAATAATGCCCAAATATACAAAAAAAGAGAAATATTTACACTGATAAAAATAATATAATTAAGTAACAAATTCAAACAAAAGTAACAAAAATTAGTTAAACTCGAGCAAGGGGGTGATAGTGAAGACAAACAAAAGAAATAAATATAATAAAACAATTCTAACTCATGAATAACCCCTCTTACCTCGCTAAAACTGATGAAAAGAAAAAAAGGTCTTCAGCGCCGTGCGCCGCATTCTTCCCTATACTGAATAAAATAAACAAAGATGACCTTCACCTCTTACCTGATGTCTTTAACAATACATTTTCTACGTGTTTGCAAAATGGAAATCGTATGACATTTTCCCTATCCACCTTACACTAAGACTGAACTTGAGGAGATACAGCTATATTGTCGGGAAGGAGCGGAGCTAAAAAATAATATACAAATCAATTGAAATAAAAATGTACAAACCTCACAAAATTTCTTAAAGTGGGCAAAAGTAATGCAAAATAATTTTACCCAAACGAAAGTTAAGCAAAAACAACGAAAATCATAATCATGTCAGAAAAATACACGAAAAATGAGATCAAAGGAAAAAGCGCTCTCTCTCCTGCTCTTCCTGACATGCTTTTTACATTCCCGCGCTGCGTCGCCAAATGATGATAGATCGGTCTCCTGACCAATCAGCTGTCAAAAAGGCGGGCCTACAGAAATGACAGGCATCAGCAATCGTGAAGGCGGACCTACATAAATGACCGGCATAGAGGGAGCGGGAGAGAGCGGGAGAGAGAGAGAGAGAGAGAGAGAGAGAGAGAGATCGGGAGGCAAACATACAGCCGGCTACAACCCTAACATTAGTTTCAGACACAACCGCAATGTATTTTACTGGTGAATATGTCATGAAAAAACACTTTACAAACATATTATATGTATATTTTTCATTAATTTAAATGGAAACCTATCTATCTAAATGAAACCATATAATCAAAACTGAGCGTCTGTGTCTGCACAGAGATCAAGCCTCTCATCGGAGAATGTGGATATTATGGTGTTTTTGAAGAAGATCTTTCACTAGTCTACACTGCAGTTATTTATTTAATTTTAGTTTACTTAGTTAAGATGGCTGCACTAAAGAGAATAGTTTTTTTTCAGACTATAGTCTATATTGGAGGTATTTATTTAATTCTAGTTGTTTACTCGGGTATCCTGACTGTACTAAAAATGCGATGACAAAGTTAATAAAGAAAAAGGTAAGATGTTCTTGTTATTAAGTGAATTGTCCCTTAGCATTGCTGTTAACATGACATCAACCCTAACCCCACAGCAAACAGAAACCGAACCGTGGCTCCAAAACCGTGAACCGAACCGAACCGAACCGTGCCTTTTGTGTATCGTTACACCCCTAGTTTTTAGCTTCTATTGTTTGAATTGAAAGGAAAAGTAAATATGTTTTGATGCGCAATTCATTTCTGTGAATCAAAGGCAAATTTTTTGAAGCCATTACATCATTCAGAAATTCTACTATTTCTATTTACTATTTATATTACCAAACATAATTTTTTTATGCTTCACTACCACGTTTGTCTGTTTCCAACTGGATGTAAAAAGCACTTCAACCTAATCATGTGTGAGTTATCATCATGAGCTCAAGTTCATTATTTCAAATATAGACTTGCAGCAAGTGCAGCCCTAGAATCGAGTATAGTGTAGCTTTGCACACAGTCAGAAAAATAATGATACCTCTGTCATTAGTCGCTTCAACCCCTCCACCTCATCCTCTCCAGGGTTCAACTCGCCTCCAGGGCTGTAAAAACAAAATAACTGTCACTCACTCAAACTCACAATAGATGAACAAACAAAACAATATAAAGAAAAGCAAACAAGCCATTGAAAAATAGTGAACAACAAGTAGGAATATTTAAAGATAGGTTTCTTTATATAACAGCTTAACCACTTAAACAGCAGCACTCTATTGAATTCATCACATCCACAACACACAATCTATAGCTTACAGTTTGAAGAAGGTTGTCCCCAGCTGAAGTAGCAGAACATGAGGGAGTCTGTGCTCGTGCACGATCAGAACACCCTCCACAGTCCGCCGCATCCCGATTTTCTCAAATTCTTCCCGCATCCGCTGAAAGCGTGCGGCTACCGAGCTGTCCTTCTCATAGAGCGGCTCCTTGGTGCCGAATGTGTAATTTGTAAGAGGGTATCTTTGGAAAAACAAACATGTTATTTCATTTAAATTGAGGTGTGATAAAGCTTTAATAATCCACACACTGCAAAACAAAACATAGCATCATAACAAAATAATGAGGGAAAAAAGATGGCAAGCACTGTATGTGGCCGCTAGTAGTAGGGCTGCACAATATATCGTTTCAGCATTGATATCGCAATGTGAACATTCGCAATAGTCAAATCACGAGTATATGCAATGTTGAGTCTGGGTTATAATTTACAATATTTCAAGTGTTTTTGAGGCCTGTGATTGTGTGAGGGTTTTAACAGCATGTGTACAGCTTTTAACTAAAAAATAATAATGATGAATTTGCTTGTTTTATTTTACAATTAATCATTTACTGTACACCTAAATGCAGTTTGACTCCTCAAAAACAATAAAACACTGTTTATGTAATTTGTATTTTTCTTTATTGAATTTTTCTATGCTTGTTTCTTATTTTTTTATGCATGCACTCTTCTACAAAATCATCCCAATCAATCTAAAATTTCTAATTCTTTCCAAATAGGCTTGTAAAATTGTATTTATATTGCAATTTATGTCACAGAACAAAAACATATCCCAATGTTAGATTTTTCAAATACAGTGCAGCCCTAGCCGCTAGTCATGTAAATTTCCATAAAGCTTCAAAACCTTTAAGAATCTTGTTTTCAAATAAGTGGTTGCATATCAAGGGGTCACAAAAAGTCACAATTTATGTAATGGAGGATGCATTTCATCATAATTATTTCAAAAAGTTATTAAAATCCAATGGTTCATGTATCTGTGCGTCTGAATTATGCCAGATTCCCAACTGTATTTATCAAAGCTTGTGATTGGTTTGTTACTGTATATTATTGCAAAATCACTCCCTTAATAAATCACCTAAATTATGAATTCTTTTTGAATAGACCTACTCATTTCATCTAGTAAAATTATCGCAATGTACATCGCAGAGGATTAAAATATCACTTGGTAATTTCTCCCTAATATTGTGCTGCTCTAATTTTGACCAGAAGGCATTACCAATCTGTGGTATTTTGAATGTTTAAAGGTTTTGTGAAGTGCTTTGAAATGGGCATTTATATTCCATGTTTGAGGTAATCTCAACTGAAACATAATGAAATGGTGGCAGTTCCTCCCCTTTAGAAAATAAAAACAGAGAATAGCGTTTTGTTTTTATCACAAACAATCTCTGCCAATGAGAGTGTTTGAGCTTAAGGCATCAAATGAATAGCAAATGAGAACCATCTTGGCAGGGGGTGGGGTTTATGCTCACATACTAGAGAGCATTTGATTGGTCAAGATTTGGTGAGTAAGTAAAACATGAAGTGACCTATGAATAATCATAGATTAGGCGGAAGTGACAAACTGCGGGCTTTAGATGTGTATATATCTTATAACGCAAATTGAGTCACTGTTTGAGCACACTAGCTTATAGATATCCTCAAAACTAACATCTAAAAAGCTTTATTTTTACTTTTTATTTTATTTCACAGGTCCTACCTTTAAAAGAGCAATCATTTATTAATTTTATACAAAGTGTAATTTGGATCTTGTGCTCGCCTATTATGGGCGTTTCATTCCATTGTGTTTTCATACAGCTTTTTGTACAAATTAAAAATAATACTCCCAAATAAGGGTTTCAATATCAAATTTGAATTTACATTAAAGATCATTCATATTAATATTTGATTAACATTGGCATAAGGTTAGCGTTATTAACAAAATCAACAATTATAATAACAATTCTACCGTCACTCAATATAATCAATGATTGGGATTTGTTTACGTAACTTGCTCAAGAATTCGACTGTTTGATTTCTAAGTCATACTTAACGTTACACCAAAATAATAACAAATAACACCATAAACCACAAATAATCAAATAACATTTCAATAACATTGCGCCTGTCGACTAATGTTAGTGATATTTTCGAATAAATGTGCAAAGAGCCCTAGGATAAATCACCGAGAACAATGCTAACTGCAACATATGGAATACAAAACTAATAAGAACTATATCGAACTCTTATATTTCAATATCCCTGCATATGTACACACTGCCATAAATGTGCATGCATTTTGCCACATAAAAAACAAAACTCTGAATATTTCACTGTATTGTTACGCATGCAAACAAGAGCTGGCAGCAAGAAGCTACGGTAGTCTGCCATGGTCAAACGCTAACAATGCTAACGTACTGACATGAAAGGCACAATGCAGCAGCACTAGGATTTACAACCATTAAAGCTTGTTTAAGTAATCGCATATATCGTTTGTAGTGTTGAATTTTAAGTTCAAGTTACTCACAGGTTGATTGTTCTCTCCAGGGTGAGGGGTTTAGTCGCCTGGGTAATGTATTTATTGCCGAACTGATTTACTCCTCGAGGCCAACCGGTAGATGATCGATTAGGAGGTACAACTGACATCGTATGACGGATTATTAAATCACTTCCTAATATTTGCACTAATCGCGTTTTTTTCCACGTTGATTACTTTATTACTGTGATTGAATTGCACAGCCTTGGCGCTCGATGAAAACTGGAATACGGCGCTCTGCTGTGAAAGCACATCCGGGACATTGGGTTACTTCCTGTGTTACGACCGTGTGTTTCGGCTCTTCAGATTTTTCTCATCTGATCTATGAGCAAGAGTTGTTTTCCACATTATAAGTAGTGGGTTTGAACAGTCCAGACACGATTCAAACCCTTACCCTTCAAACAGAGGGTTTGTGGTTGTTTATTACACTTTTCTGCCTGCTACAAGGCGTGTTTTGGTGTCTGTTAACCTGACATCACAAACACAAGAATACCACAGAAATGTCCAAACTAGATTATTAAACCATGTATTAATCAGAAAAAGACAGTAACAATTAAACCACTTATATAGCCTGTAATAGTTATTTAGGGAATTTTACCATTTAATGTTTGCAAGATTGCTTTGTGTATACGTAGCCTAATTTTTGCTTTAATGTAAACAGAACAGTTTTTTTAATACTTTATACGGACCTTTGGTGTTTTTAAAACATCATCAGTCGGTGCTATTCCCACATATCAAAAAATATCTGGCCCACATAATCAGCTTTTGCTTGGCCCACTTGCGGCAGTAAATTATGGTATATGAGTGGACCAATTCTGGCTTTTAGACAAGGACCAAACATGGACAATATCTGGGCCAAGTCTCAGACAAGTTAATAACCCATAACTGAGCCTAAACTTCACCAGATATGTTTTTGTATCCCGTCTGCAATGAAATTGATATACTCAGGGATCATTGCGCTTTAGGCATGCTATGGGCTTGCTTTTTCTCGAAGCGATGATTGGTACTTGGTAGAATTTTTTTCTTTATTTGAAAATAATAAAAATGTATTTTAAATGTGGGTCAAGATAAGCCTAACGTTCATGGCTCATATATCAATTGTTAACATCTGGCCCGAGTAGGCCTATTGTGTGCCGTCTTAAAGACGGTGCCACCTCTGCCAAACCAGGGCCATGTTTGGCCTACATGCTGTATGCCAGTGCCAGACAAATGCCTGCCCTGCCAGATATATGCCATATCTGGGTCAGAATTCTTTTCTACCTGTGTTGGAGGCACAACAAGTTAGCCTACACTGAATCACTTGCATATTTTGCTAAACATGTGATCAATTATTGCCATTCTTTAAGCCAGGAATGTCAAACTCAGTTCCTGGAGGGCCGCAACCTTGCACAGTTTAGCTTCAACCCTGCTTCGATATACTTACCTGAAACCTGAAGGACTCAATTAGTTTAATCAGGTTTGTTTAATTAGGGTTAAGCTAAACTGTGCAGAGCTGTGGTCCATCAGGAACTGAGTTTGACACCTGTGCTTTAAGCAGTATATAATGCAGTGCAAAAACAGCTTAGTGCACATACCTTGATATGTCTGAGAAAATCTTAATAAACACCTCAGCTTTCAGAAAATACTTAACACAGTAAGTGTCTTTCTGCATGCACACTATTATTTGCTTTTTACTCCATAGAGCTCCATATAAAAGCCAGAAATGTTTTTGCACAGGCCTATCTAAAGGGTTAATGGTCCTAAGCGATCATCAAAAGGAAAAATGGCAAATTGTACCTCTTCTCAACAGGGAAAACCAGCAGCAATCAAGAGTGGGTGATTATTTGCTGTCATGGTTTTGCAATCAAAAAAAAGTTGTTATAATGAAAGTCAATGGGGCAAAAAACAGCCACCAATTGGGTAGTAAATTTGAACAATAGGTTTAAGGAAAATTCTTACACTTCAAAGTCCATACCACTTGCAGCTTTAGTGTAATGTGCCTGAGTAAAACATTCTGTCAATTCAGTATGAGATGTTGGTGACATCATTCCAATAGTATCTGGATGCAGCCTTTATGATGCAAGCTGAGATTGCATCACTCATCGATGCTATATCAGACACAATGCACCCAATGGAGTGAGTGATGTCACTGTGATGGGTAGGGATGCATCTACTTGTAGGCAAATTGTTTGTTTAATTAAATGGATTATTTTCAAATTTCTTACACTTGAATATTGCATTAAGTTATACCAAGGTATTGTAGGACTTACAAATCAAATGAAATTATTTACACTGCAAAATTAGAACTAAACTAAATGTTAAATGTGTTCATGGAATGTAATATCAAAATATTTTTTGATGCTTTTATCTAATTCGGCAAGTAAACACTTTTCCCTTCCAAAAAAATCTGAAAAGGCGTGTTACTTTGTCAATTTTATTTAGTGCATTACTTCTGAAGATAAAAGTATTCTTTCCTTTCACAGTTTTCTTGAAAATAAATCCTAGACGATGGTCATAAGCTAAGATGAAAGGGAGTCCTCCAAGGCTGTGGATGTACATTTGACACTGAACATTTGAATGCTGAAATTGGCATACAGAGAGGTAATGAACATACACATGGAGTCCTGCTTTTTGCTGTTCTCCTTTGTTTAAGGAGTAATATTGTACATGCAGAAAATAACAAGGGGAAACTATTATACAAACATAAATTTATTTTTGTTTATTTATTTATGTTACTCGTTTCAATTTCAGTGCTTATAGTTTCTTCTTTTGTAATAACTTACTGAATGCAATGTTAAAAAAAAAATAGTTTTGTGTATATTGTGCTTCATTTGTTGTTCTATGTTTGCAAAGCTAAACTGGCCCTAAAATGATATTTTAATGTACTTTAGCAAAATTTTATGAATAAAGTGTTTTTACACATTTATGTTTCTATTATTAGTTTACTGAAGTTTCTGTATAATCATTTAACGGGAAAAACAGTAAATTGTACTGAGGATTTACTGTAAATTTACGCAATTTTCCATTTTTTTAAAGAAGGAAATTTCGTAAAAAAAGCATAAAAAAAACAGAAAATGTACTGGCAGAAAATTACCAGTATATTTTCTGTTTTGTTTTGTTTTTTTACAGAAGTTTTACAAGCTTTTCCGTTTACTAAAAGAAGGAAATTTTAGTAAAAAACAGATAAATGTGCTGGTAATTTTCTGCCAGTACATTCTTCATTTTTTTTACGGAATTTTTTTTACAGTGTATTTCTGTGAATCAACGATTTTCCTAATTCTGGTCCTATTCCTAAGAAACATTTGAGATTTTTCAGTGCCTACATACTATACAGTTGTAGACTGTATACAATGATCGCCGTGTTTTAGTTGTGGTCAACCTCTGCTTTATGTGTGTAACATATTACAACACAAATACATCACAGTAGTGGGAGTTAATTGAAAACAACATTGAATGAAATCAGACACGGATACTAATCTTTTCTGTTACTTCTTTTATATGAAAAGTGCTTTAATTTCCGCAATATTTTCTTCATTATTTCAACTTTTTTTCATTATTCTAAGGCATAAAAATGACATTTGCTGCATGCTTTTAATAACCGTTTATTATATCACAATTTTTGTTTGTACATATTTTGAACATTATGCTGATGGGAATCGGGAACAGACTACACCCAGAATTAATAAGCAACATCGGTTTCCTTTCTTGTTTTTTTTTTTTTGTTTTTTTTTTTTTTTCGTGCTTTTGTGTCTTGCTGTGTTAATCTACATTCATTTATTTCCAGTGCAATTAATCACATTTTATAAAAAAGTATACAATGAAAGACTTGCAACCTATGTGAAAAAGCACCCTTCTCAAAACAATCCATTTAATCATTGCTCTTTAGGGAATAGTGAAAAAATAAGAGTATAAACTAACACTGAATAAAAGCTATTTCTATTACAGTTATCACCCTTAGTGCAAGTTGTTCAATTCTGTCATAGTTCCCATCATTAGATGTGGCATCCTTTAGAAATCATACAAATCATTGCAAACATTTTTTATGGAAGTCATATAAATCAATTCAACAGTATTGCACTTAAAATTCAACACATTTGTAAGAGATCTAGGGTATTTTGCATCACTACATGGCTGCAATGTAATAACAAAGTGCATTATGGCCTCTGAAATATTACTGTGTATTGTGTGTTCATTTGCCTTCATTACATAAATGGAAATTACTGGAAAATCGAATCTAACTGTTTTTCGCAGTCTCAAATTTTGTTGAAGGGTTAAAACATCAACTGAAAATGTCAAATTAGAATACAGTGTTAAAAATTATACTTAAAATATAGATATTAAGTTACCCCACCGGTCCTAAGCAATCCAACCCGCTCTGAGCTGGGATTGTATTGGCAATTCTTTGTATGGTAGTTGGTTGCTCTAACAAGGAGGCTAAAGATCATGGCCTCTTAGCATCTGTCGCGAGAGCACCTTTTAAGGTCAGAGTAGTGAGGTTACCCTGCACAGCACTTCACTAACTGGCCTCTGCTACACTCACCCCCCTAAACCTCACTCCCATCCAGGTCAAGGCACCAATGTAAACCTGCCGGTCCTACACTACCTAACCTGCTCTGAGCTGGGATTGAATTGGCGATTCTTTGTATGGGAGTTTGTTGCTCTAACAAAGAGGCTAAAGACCATGGCCTCTAGCGTCTGTTGCTAGAGGACCTTTTGAGGTCAGAGGAGTGAGATTTACCTGCACAGCACTTCACTAGCTGGCCTCTGCTACAGTTATATGTATAATGCTCATCTTGGGCATAAACAATTAATGTTTTAGTATTTTAACCAATACATTTGTATGAAATGAGGGCAAACATCACACAATAAGTGTACCAAAGACAACTGTAAATTCTGCAAGGCTAGTCGATCACCTAATGGATGTATTGAAACAAAGATACTTGATGTCTTGATATACTGCAGAAGGTATTAAGAAAAGACACTAAATTGTGCAAAAAGCAGTGCATGGTTTCAGGTTTCGCTCTGCGAGGTCTGATTTTGAACCCCTAGACCTCTCACGTAAATACATACATAATATGATTAAACCTGTACTTTTTATATGCCTTCAAATATAGATATATATATAAATTGAAATACAAGCGTGTGCTTCATTATAATGTCAATTTTAGGGAAAATGAAATCACAGCTCCACAAAGCAGGAACTCCAACACACAGACTAAAGTGCATTCAAACTTGTGCCACGATCAATTACGTCATATCGCAAACAGTTCACATGCATTGTAGTCGTCAAGGAGGGAAATACTCAGTATTGCCTTTTCTTTGGCAACAGGTGTGTCCATGGGATGCATTTTATTGTAGGAAAAATATCTTCAGAATGATCTTGATGTAGCCTGAATTCCTTGAGAAGGGGTTTTGTAAATATTCCATCTTCAGTGAATTGATGTGCTTTAGATGTTTTTAAAAAAAATACACGCTTCATCTTGTGAGTCTTCATGAAGGGCCGGTCACTTGATAAGTTTACTAAATATATCATCTGCAAGTGTCAGGTAAATTGGAGTCTTCTGTTGTTGGGATATTGTACAATCCAAGTGCCATGTTTTCAAGTGAATCTTTCTGAAAGAAACATTAAATGAGTGTGAAGTAGATATATTATGTGATATCATAAATGGCAAACTGATTTAACATTTAATCTAAAATAAATACAAAAGAAAGAAAATATTCATTACATTTACTGTAAACAATCTTTAAGAGTTTAATTTAAACAAATTTAATTTAGTAATGGAAAATTTCGTTTATATAAATTGTTTGCAACAATTTTTTTCGGTGTACAAGTACATAATCTATACATATTAATGTTTATTCTTTACATACCAGTATTTAAAATATACTAGATTTTTTTATGGATTAGATAGTACTAACTGTAAAATAATATTTGTAATTTAACAGATTCTGTATTTTGTGATCCATGTTTTTTTCTCATTTTGAACTGTTTTATGGAACCTTGGTCTTTCCTCCAACAACTTTTGATTTTCAAAAGTTGATCAAGAGAATTTGATTGACATTTTATAATAGTTTGAATTGATATATTGACTGGTTTGGTGTTGTTAATTATGGTAAAAAAAAAAAAAAAAAAAAAAAAACTGGTAATAAACTGCCTGTACTTTTTCTCTCGGTATTATTTCTGATATAATATATTGTTTCAAACTACTAAATGTCACATTTTTAAACTGTACAGTTGGATTTTCAACTGCAAAATTTGACAGATCAGACATCAAAGTCTCATTAAGCAGTTCATAACCATAAATAAACAGTAAAAAACTTATGAATGACAAAATACAGACCCTGTTAATTATTGGATATTTTTACAGTACTTGTTCTTATTCATTTGATATTGGTACTTATTATAAGATTATATAACTTATTTTTTCATGTGCATTTATTAGCTACAAGTGCTTATTCAATAGATTCTACATATTTATTAGAAACTAGTAAAAATGTTACTAGTAAAAAAAAATCTCTTGAAAAACTTTAATTGAACTGTGGCTTTTCTGACTAAAATTAGTAAAAAAGCATTTGTGACTAGATAAGATAATATTTGTTTCTAGTCAAAATTTCAAAAGATACTTGTATCTGTTTAATAGGTTAATATACGTACGTTAAGAATATATACAAGTATATAATAATGAGTAGCAGTAATTACAAGTATGTAATAAAACTTATATATATTAAATTGGTTACAAGTAGAAGTACTTGTATCTAATGTAACAAATGCAATACAGCCTACATCCAGTTGAAGTCAGAATTATTAGCCCCCCTGAATTATTAGCCTCCGGGTTAATTTTCCCCCCCAATTTCTGTTTAAGAAGATTTTTTTTTAACACATAATAGTTTTAATAAATTATTTCTAATAACTTATTTATTTTATCTTTGCCATGATGACAGTATCTTTGCCAGTAAATAATAAATTATATTAAATTATATTTTCAAGAAACTTCTATACAGCTTTAAGTGGCATTTAAAGGCTTAACTAGGTTAATTAGCAAGTTATGGTGTAATGATGGTTTGTTCTGCCGACTATCGGAAAAAATCTATACTAATAATGACTAATAATTTTGACCCTAAAATATTTGTTTAAAAAATTACATACTGTGAAAATTTCCTTGCTCTGTTAATCATCATTTTGGAAATATTTAAAAAAGAAAAGAAAATCAAAGGGGGGCTAATAATTGTAACTGTACAGAACAAAAGTTGAAATGTCAAAGATCTCAAATAGTTTTTTTATGTGTTACTTATAACAATAGAATAGTTACTAGTCCCTAGAAATATGTACAAATACAGTATATAATGAATATGTACTGGTAATAAATAAAAAGTGCTAGTACCTTATGAATACACTGAAAAAAATCATTAGATTTACAAAATTTTCTTAAGTTATGTGGATGCAAACAATTTACATGGGCTAAATTTAAACAAACAAGTTAAACATTACTACATTTTATTTGCTTGTTTAATCCAGCACATGGAAAATTGTTTACAATCACTTGACTTATCTTTAAAAAATTTAGTAATTCCAGTGCATTCCAATAAGTACTACTATCTAACAAATGAGCATCATGATCAAATAAAAAAGATCTATTGAATTACTGAATACCTTCTACCTAAATAATCTTAGCTGTAGTAGCTAACAAGTAAATACACTGAAAAAGTTATTTAAAGATTATTTGGTCCCACTTTATATTAGGTGTCCTTAACTACTATGTACTTACTTAAAAAAATAAATACAATGTACTTACTGTGTTCATAAAGTATTTGAGAACACTTGTGGTGCTCTTGAGTTGGGATTGGGGTTGGGTTATGGACAGGTGTGGTGGTGTGGGTAGGTTTATGGATGGATTAAAGTGTAGGGAATGGTCAGCAGTGTATATACAAATGTAATTACATAAGTTAATTACAGATGTAGTTACCTACAGGTATTTAATCAATCATAAGTACACAATAAATACATGTATTTACACAATAAGTACATTGTAACAAACTATTAATTCCTGTGTAAGTACATATTAGTTAAGGCCATTTAATATAAAGTGGGACCGATTATTTTTAAGTGGTTGCATGCATTTTATTTGGGCTGAGTTTAAGCAAACAAATTAGGTTGAACATTACTAAATTAATATTGAAATTAAATTAACCATATAAATTGTTTTCAACAATGTTGCAGAAAACTTTTGTTACTACAAAAATTATTATCAAATGGGAAAGATAAATACTACACTGTATCTAGAATCTACTGTAAATTACTGGCAGCAGTTCACCAATAACTTTCTCTAAATCAATTACAGCAAAGAGAAAGAAAAAAATCTTGCTGTATATGTATTTACATTAGTGTATATCTTTACTGTAAAATACAGAAACTTTCACAATGTAACAGATACTAGTAGTAAGTATATACATTAGATGTTACAGTATATGCCATACAACATAGACGTCAGCTCTTCTGGTAGTTTTAAAATTCACCTGCTCGTCTCTCAGGAGGGATCTCTGCTGGCTGTCGCATCAGGGCTTTACTGCTCTTCATAGCCAGCGGTGGGGTACAGCTCTCCCTCCTGACCCTGAAACATGTATTGGGACACAGCAGCAGGGATGAGGGCATTAGCCAGTTCCTGCACACGCATAAATAAAGATTTCAAAAATAAGAACTTGATTTTTCAATAATCAGGAAAAATATTAATGTTTTTCTTAACGAGCCCTAATGCATTTACATATTCACAGCTCTAACTCACCGATTTCAGGTTCGGGTCCATTTCTGCGAAATTCCACTCATTCAAAGGCAGACTAAATGTAAATTGCTGCAACAAATATAAAGTCATTGGTTAGCAACAACAGGTATGTATTTACACTTTTAGAACATAGACCCAAAAATGGCTCTTCTGAATTAAAGCAGATATAAATCAGAAATAAAATTTTGTGTGTATATATATATAGCAAAATATTCCAATAATATTATGGAATCTAGAATTTTTCGTTTAGAATTCGTTTGGCAAATTCGCTTTCAGTACAGCTTTCAATCCTGACCACTAGATGTCACCAAGTTTCACTAGAAACTATATACCTGTACAGGCTCACCCATTATATGATTGGCTTGAGTGATTTTTTCACAATATTTATGAAATAAATATAGCATTCAGAAATTGTTTGAGCAGTCTGACAGTATTTCAACGTCAAATAAATATAGAATAACTGTGGCAGTTGTGTTGCATCAAAAACTGAGAATGTTGAATATTTCTTTACATTTAAAACAACTCTAAGATATTTTAAAGTTCTCTGTACTTTCTCTTTCATTTCTATTGAAAATAACCAAATATGTTTCCAAATGATATAGGCAGTTTATCGAGATTGTTCTACTTTATTGTTCTGAATATGTAATTACACATCTAAATAGGGGTGATGGTGACTCTTAAGAGGTCATGCATTTTATTTTATTTGTTGTTGTTTTTTTTACCAGATCCTAATTTTAGGCCCATTTCTCAGCAATGTAAATTCCACATTTCGACTTCCACAATAATTTTTTTTAAATAAAAACATTATATTGGGATTGTTTCAGTACTAGAATTAACGAAAAATATCTTGAAATGATTTAATAGTGAGAAGTGACATTTTCTTATATGCTAAGCTAAAAGTAAGGGAGGAGAACTGTGTACAGTGACCTAAATAATAAGAAATGAATTTAATCTGTTTTACAAAACTAAGCTGGTCTCCCATTATTTTGATTGTGTGTAATACAGTGAATAGATTCAGCCTTACATCCATTGCTGCAGCATTATTTTCCATGCTCTGCTGGTGACTCCTCAGAAGCAGCTGTAAATCCTCCAGACTCATGTCAACATTCTCCACGCCATCAGGAATCTCTGGTCTTTAACATATGCACATAATAGATTTTTACACTTTCTGAAATCTGAGAGGTGCTTTTTCATAAATAGTAAATATGTGCAACTTTGACATAATTTAATATATAGTTTCATACCTCTCCAGCATGGGTCTTTTGGCCCTTCTCTCTCCCAAATTAGATCCTCGGCCCTCCAGGACGGACTGCACCATGGCAACAGGGAGGACAGGGGGTTCAGCACACACTTCACAAGACCCGAGTGGAACACCCTCTGCTCGTCCCTGGACCCCAGGACTCACCGGCTCCTCCTTAATTAGCATCAGACACTTTTCCCTATACAAATAGGTCACGTTTTAATTGAAAGTAAAGGTAAAAAGTTATACAAGGAATTTTACACACCCAAACTATTTGGATTCATTTAAATATTTCTGGATTTTTTCATAAAAAGAAGCGCTGTAAAAGTTTGCTGTGAATAAAAGATTGACATATATTTTATTTCTTAAAACTGAATGTTAATAGTACAATTATTTGTTATTATAATAATAATAATAATAATAATTATTATTATTATTAGAAGTATATTCTTCTCCACAATAGTAATGTCATAGTTTAATTTCAACAAGATAAACACTTTTTTACTTTTTACTTTTACACAATTTTTACTTTAGTAAATTGCATTGTATTCCCTTATTTAATATTAATGTAATATTTTTATTTTTTATTATAATTTTCAACATTTTTATTTATTCTTTCAAATTTCTATGCTAGCTTTACCAGTACTGGGTTGCAGCTGGCTGGGCATCCGCTGCTTAAAACATATGCAGGAATAGTTGGTGGTTCATTCCACTGTGGTGACCCCTAATAAATAAGGGACTAAACTAAAAAAAATGAATAAATTAAATTTCCAAGCCAGAAACAGTAAATTAAATTTTTATGATGGGATTCAGCACTTCTGTGAGAATTTTCCGCATTCTGAAATCATATTGAAGAAATAAGTTTTAAATCTTATCATCATTTACTCATTCATGCATTCCAAACTTGAATGACTTTCTTTTGAAACACAAAAATGGACATTATGAAGAATATAGGTGTCCATACAATTCAGGGTAATTGCCAAAGCTTTTCCTTTGTGTTTTTAAAAAGGTTGGACCACTGTTGTCAAAATGACAGGACATCCAAGAAAATGACATTGAAATTATGAATTACGCTAATGAAGGAATTATGCATCCCAGGCCAGTAGGTGGTAATGTCAGTTTGTAAAGAAATACCGTGCACAATACATATGGTCCTGTTATCCGAAATTGTTGTTAATTTTTTGTCAAATACTTGTGCTTGCTGTTAGAAAGAGCCCTTAAAGGAACAGTGGACTTTTTAAAAATAAGCAAATTTTACAAATCAACTAGTCATAAACAGATTAGTTTTCACATTTTTAATCCATTTTAACTCCAGATTTTCATTGAATTTAATTAGAGTAATAGCGACTTGCTAACATTTTTTTTTCTAATTTTCCTATTTGAATCTTGACTTTTCAGTAGTTGCATCACTTAGGCTTACTAAGAATGACAGAAAATAAAACGTTGCTATTTTAGGTCAATGTGCTTAGGAACTATAATCTCATTCTGGTGTAATAATTTAACTTTTCTACCATACCATAGCTGTGGTAGCAAATTATATTACGTAGTACATCAAAATAATATCCAGCTAGGTAACTAGGTAACCGTGATGTATAATATCAATGCACCTGCTGCAGCTCTGGTACTGCAGAAAATAGATTATGTAACTCCAGAAGATTCAAGTTTTAATTGGAAAAAATATCTACAGTGGTCCCTCACCATAACCTGGTTCACCTTTTGCAGTTTCGCAGATTTTTTTTTTTGTGCAATTTAAAAAGCTTTTTTTCTTTCTTACTTTCTTTCTTTCTTTTTTCTTTTTTTTTTTTTTACAGCGAATTGAGTTCTGCG